GTGATGGATGTTGGACAAGTTTCTGACATAAACTATTAGCTTTGCTGATCGTTCCCCGAGAGTTTGATGCTTCCTCCTCTTCTCACAGCCAAACTCTGCCCTTCATCATGTCTCAGGACACTTTGACAAAATAAACCCACAACATGCTGATGAATTATTCAAATTTGTCTCAGTGATGTATGCAGACGGAGTTGCAAGGGAGAGATGTGATTATTACTACTGGCAAACCTCTTCCTYCAGCTGACTGAACCGCCAACCCAACCAATTACCATCCACAGCCCCGCAGCTCTTCAGCACCAAGTGGGAAGGAGGAATTCAAGCTCCTGCCTACATTATTCTAAAACCGCGACAGTCAAAACTGCTGCTGTGCARCGATGGAGGTGATGGAATTCATCAGTTCATAATGGAATGGAAAGTGAATTAGAATCATTCTAGCAGTCGGTGTCAATGACGACCTGATACCTGGAGCTATGGCGCTAATGATGTGTTTTAACCCTGAATCGTGATGATTGCCCACTGACAAAAAGCAGTGGTGGACAATGATTTTCCAGTCTCTCTCTGTGTGTGTGTGTCTTACCATTAGCAAGATATATCATGAACGAATTAAGCCAACCCATTTCAAGATGTCATAGCTAATTTTAGATCAAGCAAAAATGTTTGAAACTCGGTCAACTTTACAGCCACTGAGCTAAAATGTGAAGTGGTGACAGCTGAGAGTCTGTTTATATTTTATAATGCAATAATTGTTCCACACTTGATCTACTGTATTGATGTTTGTGGAAAATCATGCGAAACAATTACAAACCCAATTTTTATTTTACAAAAAAGAGCTGTAAGAATTATTACAAGAAAGCACCATCATCACCCATCAAATTCATTGTTCCATCAGTTGAAGTTATTGAAATTCAATGATTTGGTTGATTATGGTAATTTGTCAGTTATGTATAGGGCTCATAAAAATATGTTACCCTCAAACATTCAATTACACTTTGTTAAAAGAGAGAGTTGTTATAATCTCAAGGGGATAGAAATGTTTGTTAAACCCAAATTTAGAATCAGTTTAAAAGGAACAGAGTACTTCAGTCCAGGGTATAAGATCATGGAATAATCTGGAAGATGACATTAAAAATGTCTGATCAATGTGTGTGTTTAAGAGAATGATAAAGGTTAATTTGCTGGAGAAATATGTAAATGTATGAATTGTTGTTCAAGGAATAAAACCTTAGTTATTTTTCTTTTTTTATAACCTAAAGATTATTTT